AAAGAGGACCCACTGCTCTGCCCATATAGGTGGCAATGGTAAGACAAATGGGCAGCTTTGGAGTCATATAGTAAGGCCAACCGATGAGCTCTTTTTTGTTGTTGTTCTGTAAGACAAGGTTTCTTTGTGTAAAAACCCTGGCTGATCTGGAACTTCATTTGTAGACCAAGCTGGTCTCAAACTCACAGAGATCCACCTGCCTCTGCCTCCCAAGTGTTGGGATTATAAAGGCATGCGCCACCACTGCCAGCTAACTCTTTACTGCTGAGCGGTCTCTTGGGCACCACCACTCAGATCCTACCCTTTCTCTCTGGGCACAGACAAGAGATGCTTTTTATTTACTTACTTGTCTTTATGTAGCTATTTATTTCTTTTTGAGACAGGCCCTGAGTTTGAACCTTGGAAGCACAACAGTCCCTGTACTCCACGAGGAGCTAATCATCCTTGTCTTGTTCTCAAGTGTCAGCGACAGAAGACTGGGGGACTTCACAGTGACACTTGTAAAAACATCCACAGGACTCTCATCTTCCTTTATAACATTACTTACCAAAAATGTCTATTATTATCCATGCAAGTGCTATTCAAATCTATCAGCAGTTCATTTTTTAAAATATTTTTGTGTATGAGTGCTCTCTCTATCTGCATGTACACCTGCTTGTCAGCAGAAAGCACCAGATCTCATTATAGATGGTGTGAGCCACCATGTGGTTGCTGGGAACTGAACTCAGAACCTCTGGAAGAGTAGTCAGTGCTCTTAACCACTGAGACATCACTCTCCGGCCCCATACTTCATCTGTTTAAAATATTCGGAAACAGAATCTCCCTATGTCAGCCCAGTTTGCTTCAGTTTCAAAATTCTCCTGCCTCAGCCTCCTGAGTGCCAGGATTAAAAGGTGGATGCTGCTACACTGAACAAGTTTCTGACATAGTGACAATTTAATCTTTTCATTTTTTCTTTTTAATGAACTAGCTGTGAACTCCTAGGCTCAAGAGGATATCCTGCCTCGGTCTCCTGAGTAAGGTAGACAATAGGTACACTCCACCACACAGCTAACTTCATTATGTTCATAGAAACAGTCTTACCTTGTAGTCAGAGACATCAGGAGAGTAGTCCGACGTGAGTTCCAAAAGCTAAAAAAGAAGACAAAGCCTTAGAGTCCACAACTCTCCCAGACCCTCACTCTCTTGGGCCTGCTCCCTCCTACCCCAGGAATGGGTGCCATGCAGAGGCACACACCCCCACCCACCTGATGCCCCACCATGACTTCTGACAACGGCAGACAGTTTTTGTAGACATTGCTTAGTAAGATTCACTAAGTAAGTTTCATGTGTTTGTGGGGGGATGGGAATCTTGCCTTTGTTATAGTTGGTGCTGTTTTAACATATACCTTAAATGCAATCTTTTCACCGACTTGAGGGGCAGCTGCCAACAGTGGCAATAGACTATAGTCCTTCTTGTGTGTCTCTACAGGATTCTGGAAAACAGTCACATGACTCGGTTAACTGGTGAAAAAAGAGGAACCCGTGGCATGCCTCGGAGCTGAGATACACTCCGTGGGGAAAGGGAAGCCAACTCAAACAACGAATGGTTACCTGGATCACAGTGGACGAGTTTGTTAGGATGTCATTTAACTGTTTCTGCTTCTGACTCTCAGAGCTTCTATTTAAGATACAGGAGATAGCAGGCCCTCGGCCTCGACCTCGGCCTCGTATACCCCGGCCCCTCAGCCCCTTCCCCAACAAGAAGTCCTCTCCTCGACCCCATCCTCTTCCCAAACTGGTAGGGACAGGCACACTTGGAGCAGGACCAAGAGCTTGCCTGCCTCTGCTGGAGTCAGAAGGCTTCCAGCCCATAACACCCGAAGTCTGCAACGTCAGCCCTGGACACCCTTGCCCTGCAAAGAGACCGGCTGTCTTTAAGAAGTCTGAGGCGCCTTCAGAGATGTTCTTGGACACCAAGAACTGGTCTTCCGACTCGGAACTGGAGTCTGAACTGGATGACGAGGTTCTGATGGCCTTGCCCTTGCCCTTGCCGGAGCTGAAGGGAAAGGCGGGCTTTGAGGCCTGTTTGTTGACAGCTGCCGTTTTTGCAGCAGGTCCATCGTTCAACAGCTCAGCTGAGAGTTTCTCTGAAAAGGTGATCCCCGACACTGTGATATTGCAGAGGCTATCACTGACCGACTCTGGACAAGAATCAGACTCTGACAGGTAGCCTGAGCCCCCTTTTGGCCCTGCACTACTTTTCCTCAGGGCTTTAGTGAGGCTGCTTCTGGGGGAGCCCTTGGGCAAGCAGTTCTGTGGGCTCCACTCCTTGGGCATCTGCGTTTTGGGAGACTTGGGTGCCTTGGTCTGCTTCTTATGTTCACATTTCTCCTTTTTCTTTGGTGACTTCTTTCTGGCCTCTTCCTCCTCCTCTGCTGGGCTGTCTGTCACTTTGCTTTTTTTCTTGCTTTTCGTCCTCCCCACCCCCACCTCATCTGGAACAGGTTTTGTTTCCAGGTCTAAGGCCTTCTCTTTATAGCTGCTGTCCTCTAGCTTTCTCCAGTGCTTCTTGGAGCACTTGTAACCCAGTTCCATTTCTTCATTGTCCACCAACTTAAAAGCCCGCTTCTTTGCTTTTCTGAGTAGAAAGTTAGAGTCACCGCCATTGCTTACTATGAAATTCTCAGGGAGTTCTCCATCTTCTAACTTAACCCTGTCAAGAGAAGACAGCAAGTAGTTACATACAGCCAAGACTGCAGATTGTGGAGTTTAAGGATGAAAGACGACACAAAATGACCACAACTCTTTCAACGGCTAGTTTTGTTTCGTCTTTGTCGTTTTGAGACAGGGTCTCACAACTTCACCTTAGATGGCCTGGAACTTGCTATGGAGAACAGGCTGGTCTCCAACTCACAGAGCTCCACTGTCTCTTCTTCCTGAGTGCTGGGAGTAAAGGTGGTATTATCATGCCTGGCTCATTGTGGCTAGTTTTAGTAACTTAATAGCTACTGTGTCCCACACATTTTTTTTTTCCTAACTTAAACATCACTGACAAACTAGGTAATCTTTCATTTCAGAGGTCGCAAAATCTACAACTCAAACAGGTACCTGCCCAAGATTCACAGCTGGTAAGAAATAGGAGGATATTCCAACCTTGGCTTGCCTATCTTCAAAACTCAATCAGTTTTTTTTTTTTTAACAATATAACATTGATTTATTGATAATTTCATACACATATACAATTTATTTCAACCATATTCACACACAAACACTAGCTTCCAACTTCTCTCAGACACCCCAGCTTCATGCCTCCTTTTTCTTAATCCACAATCTCTGTACTATATGTGTGTGTTAGCCATTCTAAAGGATGAACCCATTATCCATCCAGTTTTGCTCTAGAATGAGTAAAAACATAAACTGAACCTGAGTGTCTACTAACAGTTAAGTAAATAGGGAAAATGTGGTGCACATATGGATAATGGAATATTACTCAGCTGTAAAGCAGGTATATCATTTGTAGCAATATGGAGCTGGAGGGCAGGTTGCTAAATTAAATCAGAAAGACAAATACCACACATGTTCATTTATATGAAGACTTTAAAATAAAAGATCTCAAAGAAGCAGAAAATAGAATAAAAACCTAAGGAGGTTGTAGGGGAAGGTAAGACAAACATGTACACTGATACAAAGACTAAATTCTAATGTTCCTCCATAGTATAGGACAACAATGGTGGACAACAATTATCGACAAAGAGCTACAAAAATTTTCTTTTTTCTTTCTTTTTTTTCTCTTTCTCATTCTTTCTTTCTTTTTTGACACCACTGGTAGCTTTGGGTGGCTTTAACTTGGTATGTAGACCAGGCTGGTCTTGAACTCAGAGATTTACCTCTCTCTGCTACCTGAGTGCTGGGATTAAAGACGTATCTAGAGAGGACTTTTAATGTCCTCAACATAAAAGAGAAAAAAATGAAGAAACAGATATGATAATCAATTCTGTTCTGATCATTACATATTATATATACATATCCTGAAATGAGTCATTGCACTCTACAAATATATAAGATAACTATATGGTAATAAAACATTTAAAGCTGGGTGATGGTGGCACACACCTTTAATCCCAGCACTTAGAAGGCAGAGGCAGGAGGATCTCTGTGAGTTTGAGACCAGTCTGGTCTACAAGAGCTGGTTCCAGGTCAGCCTCCAAAGCCATAGAGAAACCCTGTTTCGAAGAAAGAATTATTTAATTATTATTAAAATAATAAAAGTGTTTTCCTATTTCTGCTTAGATTCTGAATAGTTACAGTTACCTATATGATCCATGACAGTTTATAAAGGTTAATTTTATGTCCACCTGGCAAGGCTATGGGGTGCTCAGCTCAAACATTGTGTCTATGACTTGTCTGAAAGAGTTTCTGGATGAGATTCCCACTGAAATCTCAAGAGTGAATAAAGGGCTGCTTGTTTCAAGACCCCTCTCTGCTGCAAGTACCTATGACTTTCCCTTTCTCCTTTCTTTCTTTTCTTTCTTTCTTTCCTTCCTTCCTTCCTTTCTTTTGGTTATAGTTTTCGAGACAGGATTTCGCTGTATAGCCCTGGCTGTTCTGGAACTCACTCTGTAGACCAGGCTGGTCTCCAACTCAGAGATCCACTTGTCTCTGCCTCCCAAGTGCTGGGATGAAAGGCGAGCGACACCACCACTTGGTGATTCTATTTCTCTCTCAGCTCTAAAGAGGTGTTTGTGTGTGTGTTTGTGTGTGTGTGTGTGTGTGTGTTTTCAAGTACTCCAGGACCAGAAGAGACTGTTGGAAATCCAACAGCTGGACATACAGGTGGTTGTGAATCACTGCACATGGCTGCTGGGAACCAAACTCAAGTCTACAGAGCAGCCAAAGCTCTGAACTTGCCAGTCCCTCTACTTCTCAGTATATCTCACTTGCCATTCCTCACTGTCTCACTCATCATTCTCTGTACTGGTGAGCTGGTGAACTTAGCTCTGACTCAATAAACTGCTAATATGCTCATTTTGGTAGTACCCCTACTAAAACTATAGTGACACAGAGAAGACTCACATGGTCCCTGTACAAGGATGACTGACAAATTTGTGAAGCATTCCATACTTTTTATATCACCCCCTCCAAGACTCAGGAAACATCAAAGGGAGGGGGGAGGATAATACAAGGCCAAGAGGAGACGTTCCTGATGTGATACAGCACTGCACTCATGAACTCACTGGAGGAGGCTACATGTCAAGAGCAGTACAGGACTGGGCCTCTCAACATTTCATCTGGATGTGAGGTGTGACAATGAGACCCCACCCCTCCCCGAGGAAGGGACCATTAAAAACAAACGGGACTAAGAAAGTAAATGGTCTCCCCGATGCCTCAATCAATAGAGTGCCTGCTGTACAAGCATGAGAACCTGGATGTGAGTACCTGTACTTAATCATAGCACTGAGGAAATGGAGACAGAGACAGGCAGATCCCTAGAGCTCACTGGCCAGGCCAGCCTAGCCTGGCTCCCTGTCTCAGAAAAATAAGGTGAATTGTAATTGAAAAAGGCACTGGGCATCCACCTCTTCATAAATTTACACAAATGTGCACACACAGTCAGTGCATATGTGCACATCCACAAACAAGACACAGACATATATACACACAATTAATCTGTCAGGAAAGACCATTATAAGGAGTGAGAAACAAACAAACAAACAATAATAAGACCCCAAATTTTCACATTTAGTTGCTTTTCATTAATTTAAAAAAATGGGGATTTTATTTACTACTTTTTTCTTTAGTGGGTTATCATGTAGGTACTGGGGCCTGAACCCTGAACCAGGGTCCTCTAGAGGAGCAAACAGCGCTCTTAACTACTGAGTCATCTCACAAGCCCGCACATGGAGGTTTGTTTGTTTGTTTGTTTGTTTCTATGATCTACATCATTTACCAGCAAGGTTCACTTCAATCCACCTCTCTAGCTCCCTGGACTGAATCTATCGCCTCAAACATACTAGCTAGGCAAGCAATCATTCAACTACAGAGCCACATTCTCCGGCCCACAGAGGTAACATTTTTCCAGTGTAACTGTTCATTTGAGGCATTTAAGAGCAATTTCCCCTCTGCTACAATTATTACTTGTAACAGTTTTCGTCGTTGTTTTTGACATCATTGTAAGAATGCAATTTGGGCTGGAGAGATGGCTTAGCAGTTAAGATCACTGCCTGATCTTCCAGAGAGGTCCTGAGTTCAATTCCCTAAAAACCACATCGTGGCTTACAACCATCTATAGTGGGATCTGATGGCCTTTTTTTTTTTTTTTTTTTTTTGGTTTTTCAAGACAGGGTTTCTCTGTGTAGCTTTGGATCCTGTCTGTCCTGGAACTCACTCTGTAGACACCACCAGGCTGGCCTCGAACTCACAGAGATCCACGTGCCTCTGCCTCCCAAATGCTGGGATTGCACCACCACCGCCCAGCCTGACGCCTTCTTCTGACATCCAACACGTTAAGAAAACAATACTATCCTTTCTTCCTGCTTTGGTCTCCTGCACCAAGCGCAGCCCAGAGAAGGCGGGTTTGTGGCACATGTGGCACGCGCGCCACGCGTCCGGCACACAGCCCTGGCCTGGAGCTGCCGAGCTGCTCCAAGTCTCGTCCCCCTGCAGTGAGAAGCGTCCCAGGCAAGGATGCTCCGGCCCTGGCTGGACCGCTCCGGGTCTCTGGCGTGTGCCTTTCTGCAGTTAGCTCGTCTCCCGGGGCCGAGGTCGCGCAGTGCAACGAGCGCGCCCCCACCCGCACGGCCCAGCCGGCCCCGCGCCGCGCGCTCCCGCACACCTGAGGCAGTCGTTGTCTCTCACCAGGCGCGCGCTCTCGGCGGGGGGCAACAGGCCCCCTTCCAGGTAGAGGCCCAGGAGCGCCCCGGAACTGAAGCCGAAGCGCTGGCGGATGAGACTGATGAGATCCGTGACAACTCGGCATCTGTTCAGATCCACCAGAAGCCAGAAGACTGTGCAGTGCGGCGTGGCCGGCGGCGGATAGTCAAATTGAAGCCGTAGCCTAACCGTCTCGGAGGCTGCCATCTTGCTCGTGCTTGACGGAAGCCGAGAGGTTCCACCGGGCTACGGACAGGCGTGCTCGGCTGGCGCGCGCCTCCTACAGGCGCCAGGGTGTACTGCAGGCTCCCATCGTGAGCTCTAGCTACTACTCCATTCTTTTCTGAGGTCTGAATATCTGCCACGATGTCTCCTAAGAC